GCTAATAAATAGTGAATGGTTGCTGGTAGTATCTTGAGACAGACCACCATGATAAGAGGTTGAGACTCTAGAAAGAGTGCTTAGAAGAGCAACAAAGATGATTAGGGGACTGGATGCTAAAATATATAAAGAACAGTTGCTGGAATTGGGTATGTCTAGTCTGATGAAAAGAAGGACTAGGGGTCACATGATAGCAGGGTTCTGATCTCTCAGGGGCTGCCACAAAGAAGAGGGAGTCAAGCTATTCACCAAAGCATCTGAGTGTAGAACAAGAAGCAATGGATGGAAACTAATCAAGGAGAGAAGCAACCTAGAGCTAAGGAGAACTTTCCTGACAGTTAGAACAATTAATCAGTGGAACAACCTGCCCCCAGAAGTTGTGAATGCTCCAACACTGGAAGTTTTTAAGAAGAAACTGGATAACCATTTGTCTGAAATGGTATAGGGGGTTGGACTAGAAGACCTTCAAGGTCCATTCCAACTCTGTTTATTTTATTCTATACTATACTATACTACACTACACTAACCTACACTACACTATTCATCATTAATCAATTCTGTTATTCTGTTATTAAGAACCCTATCCAAAATACCTATGGATTGCTTACATAAACAGTGTGCACATTATGGCGTAAATGCTCTGATGTCTCAGGAAAGCTTCTGTCTTTAAAAACAGAAAGAAATAACATACTTTTTAAAAATGGTTGAACTATGCTTATCCTGCTAGCCTCCAAAAGAGGCTAACAAACACCATCGAAAATTAAAAGTACAATGAAACTTCAGTTTCATACCTCTTGATACAATGGACTCTGCATGCAATAGACCAAATTCTATCATGGTTTATGGCATTTGCACAGAGATGCAGTTATGTCAGTAACACTCCCATGCCAATGATGCAAATGATATAATTTGCAATATTTGTATCACAGCAATGTCATGTTTTTTCATTTTCTTGACTTTAGAAAAATATCACGTCCGCACCCCCCTGGTTGGTTTATTAAAATAAAGGTTCGCTGTCATTAACAGCAAGTATATTTTTTTCTTAGAATTAAAAAACCTCGTTTCATCTTAGTGCCATATTAGGTCTCCATGGTTAACCCCTAGAAGATGGAATTCTGAGCTATATTATCATTAACCTTGGAGAAGTTAATGTAACAATGTATTAGATATATTAACCCCACTATAAGAAATACCTTTCTGATGGTGAGATCTGTACAACAATGGAACAGTCTGCCTATTGAGGTTAAGGTTCTCCTATTATGGCTAGTTTAATATGTTTTCCTGCATATTAGAGAAGGTTGAATCAGATGGTCTTTGGAATCTCTTCCAAGTCTACATTTCTATGACTTTACAATCCTATCCTTGATTCATTTGTTCTGTGTGTTTGTGAATGTGTGTGTGTATCTTCCATCAACTTGTTTAATGACCTTTAAAGCTGCCTAAGTTGATATCTATTGCTGCATCTTGTAGCAGTGAGTGCCATAGATTAATTGTACATCATTCTGAATCTCCTGCCATTCAGCTTCGATGGAAGATTCTGAATTATACTATTTAAGGGGAAGGAAAAATCCTTACATTGATTGTCCTTTCCATTTTAATGTTGCTAACATCTCTCTTCTGAACAAAGTATCTTTGGGTGTGTGTGTATCTCTATGCATATATTCAAACTTCTTCATTTGTGGAGACATAATGTATAAAATTAAAAATTCACCACCCTCTTTATTCTTGTTTCCTGATTAACTCACGCTCCACATTTGTCTTGAACATCGCCGTTTATTTTAAAATGAGTCTTGGCTTCCCTAGGCATCAGCAAATCTGCTTGATATTCTAGAGTGGTTTAGCATTGGGTAATGAACAGTTATTAAATGGCCCTGAGTCACAAGTTTGCTTTCTGCTTTTAGGGTTCAGCCTACGCACATCTGTCTACTGTATGACAAGGACAGCTGGGGACATTTAATTAGACCTATAATTATAGGGTATGTGGTAACATTGCTACTCTCAAAAGGGGATATCAAGGTGAAGCTGCTGACTCTTGGAGAAGGAAAGGTGAAGACTTAGTTGTCCATGGTGCTTAACCAAGCGGCTGGACAGCAAATTTTACCGGCTTTGAGACAAGTGGTAGAAGCTTGAAAGCTTTTAAGGGAGGAAAAAAGAAGCAATCTTGATACTCAAAAAGCAGAAAATAGGGTTTCTGAGTGACTATGTAACTGGGCTCACATATTATGCTAACTCCAGATTTCTTTTAATTGTGGTTTCTTGGACAAGCCATAGCGGACAAGTTGACCCAAAAGCTAAGCCATAAAACAGGATTTTGCAAGCCACAATATAAGCCTGGTTCACACAAAAACATCATATCAAACTGCAACTAGACAGGATATATTGTTTCTTGGACATTGTGTGAGCTTAGCTTGTGTTAATTACATATTTTCTTCTTCCATCTCCTTTTTAATTTTCACTTGTAACCTCAGTTTTCAATACTGCTGAGAAAGCTGACGTCCTTTATAATATTCTACATCAGTGGTCCCAAAGGTGCTTTTTTCAAGAGGCAACTGGACTTTCTGGTTTTTCTTTGAAGACGTTTCTATTCTCATCATCTACATCAGTGTTTCTCAACCTTTGATGCTTGAAGATGTATGGACTTCAACTCCCAGAATTCCCCAGCCAGCATTTGCATTCACTGGCTGGGGAATTCTGGGACTTGAAATCCACACATCTTCAAGCAGCCATGGTTGAGAAACACTGATAGCCCCATACCTCATGTGAGCTCTCAACCCACCCTGTCATCTTGTAAAGTCCTTCTTCCTTACTTGAAATTGTTGAGATAAGCCAGGGATTTGGTGGGTGCCATTAAATGCCTCTAAGCATAATGATGTATGAAATCACTGCACTGAGAATGCTAGTCCCTGGAGATGCATCATAGTTTCCATGCTAATCAATTCCTCCATCGAACTTCCTGGATCATTATGGTGTATGTGTGTGTGGGTGCGTGTGAAACCAAGGCACAAAGATTGCACAGAGTTTTTGATAGCTGTAGAAATTGTATTAACAATGAAAATACTGATTCATTTATTTATTTTCTGACTTTCCCCTGCAGTATTTTTGGCTGTTTGTCCTCTCCCGAGGTTTGGTTGGCATCGGCGAAGCTAGTTACTCTACCATCGCTCCAACTATTATCGGAGATCTCTTCACCAAAAACACTCGGACACTTATGCTGTCGGTCTTTTATTTTGCAATCCCTCTGGGCAGGTATTTACTTGTTTAATACATATCCTTGCTAGATTTCATTTCTTGTCTGGGCTAATTCATTTCTTTTTCAAGATGTAAACCTTTCATCTTTAACTCAACAGTCTCCAAGTTCTCTAGATTCCTTTAGATTAGCCCTGTTAGTCTGCAGCAGGAAGATTGAGGTACGTTCCTGGCATTGCTTTAAGATGCAGAAAATTCAGTTAATCAGAAACAGGGAATATTACATCTTTGAAAAGGCTATTCATGGCCAGCTGGCTGGCTGAAAATATTAAAGGGGACTCCACATAGAACAATTTTGCTGTAGATGTTGTTTGTGATGTTAGCCATCCTTGAAAATTTTGTATCTGGAGCCATTTTATGGAGCAATGAAGCTCTAAATTGGTATGTTAATACCAAAATAATTTGATGTAATAAAACAGCAAGTAATTTGAACTCCAATTGCAAAAGACATATAACCCAAAATACATAATATTTCTGTAAGTTTCCATAGGATATTCTTCCTCCCTGCAGTTAGTTTTTTTAAACTGTTTTTAACTTGGAGTTTCTGTTGTTTTGCTATTCCGTAGGTAGAACATTAATGATCTTATAAACTACTTTTTAATAGATTTTATACCTATTGTTCTATGCATAATGGAACTATGCCACTTAATTACTTGATCATCTTTATTAACTTTGGTTCAATAAATAAGGATCTGAGATGGTTCAATAAATATACTAGCTGAGACATTTCAAGAAAAAGTATCTGAGAAAGTTCTATAAATAAAAATCTTTATGCTTTGGCTAAAAACACTAATTGAGTTCCTATTTCTAAGTGGGGGGGGCCCTCTTCATCATTAATCCTATAGCTACCTCTCACTTGCTTGCTATTTTCTGAAAGGATCAAAGGGAAATAAAAGAGGATGGATATGAAATGTACTGGTTACTCAAATTTTCTTTGGTCATCTTGAATTTTACTTATTTGGAGGATGCAGATGAGTTACAATCACAAGACACAGGAAATGCCAGATGATTTGTGTTAATAACAAATAGCAATAGCACTTAGACTTATAAACGGCTTCCCTGTGTGTTACAGCCCTTTCTAAGTGGTTTACAGAGTCAGCCTATTTCCCCCAACAATCTGGGTCCTCATTTTATCCACCCCGGAAGGATGGAAGGCTGAGTCAACTTTGGTGAGATTTGAACTGCCAAATTGCAGGCAGCCGGCAGGCAGCAGAATTAACCTGCAGTAACTGCACTCTAACCACTGCACAACCACAGTTCAAAAATTGTATTTTTCCCCCTGCTTTTCCTCTAGCCAGGCAGCACTTACTGTGTTTTCTTTCTTTCTTTTTCATCCTTGTAAGTAAATGTGGCTGAAAAAGGGAAAGGATTGGCTTAAACTCATCCAGTGACTTGACCTGGATCTCCTTAGCCTCAATTTAAAAACCACTAAGAAAGATCTGAAATCATCAGCCCACTTCTCCATTTTCTATGTATACCTGAGAGCAGTGAACTTCTGAATAAATTTGCTGAAATGGGAGCCTGAATGAAAGACCAAGAGAGGTCTTTGGTGACTTAATTCGTACATGTTTTGCTTGATTTCTGAGGTAATCTGTTTTCTAGAAGTTGAACAATAAAAAGAACCAATCAACTTAACTGGATTTCCACAACATGTTAAAACACAGAAAAGTCTTCTTGGGATTAAACCACATTTTGTCTGTTGTGCAAATGCAAGCTATGTTTTTTCTAATCTGATTAAATAAATTGTCGTGATGTAGCCAGATACACTATTGTACCACTTGCATTAGAAGTACACCATATTTAGAGTCCGCGGACCATACAAGCACTCTGAATTTAAGTGGGGGATGAACAGCATTTACTCAAAATTGCCATGTATATGAGTTAAAATGCGCTAAGTCAGGTGTATCATGCAAATACCTAGTTTTTATCCAGTGGGGAATTTTTCCAGTCCTCAAAAGAGATTGATTGATTGATTTGACTTATATAGCTCCCCATCTTATGTACCATAACCCTGAATGGCTCAGGAAGCATAAAAACTGTAACAAAAAGGCCCAACATTTACACATTCTAACCAATGGTGGGTTTCAAAATGGGACCAGTTCAGGGGTGTGGCCAGCCGGCCATCGCTACCGGTTCACCAAACTTGGCAAAATTCCCGCCACTAGTTCGGGCGAACCGGTGCAAACCGGCTGAATACCACCTAGCTGATTCTAACCTATCCAAATTCCAGTCTTCTGGGCTTCTACTGTACTCTACTCCAACTCTCAAATACTGCCTGGAGAAAGTAGAAAGAAAGTTTGCACTCCCCAAAAGGGAACTTCTGATGCAATTAGTTTGTTCACATATTTCTAGATCCCCAGGTACATATTTGATCCAGTTAACAGCTGATCAGGTTAAATATGTTGTGTATGCAGGACCAGTAAGTCATTGGTACCCTGTGTTGGAACCTCACTTATTTAATTTGGGCTGAACTACAGACAGTGGAGTCCTTGATGCTCTCTGAACCTGGTTGTTTGCTTGCAGATGTTTCATTACCCAGCTAGATAAAATCATCCGTATGAGAGTATATGAAATTTTCTCCCAGCTTGTATGCAGGAGCTTGCCCTGCCAGTTTGAGGAGGGTGTGATTTTCTTCTTAGTAGTTCCTTAATTAGGGTATTGTTTTCTGTTTGTTTGTTGATTTGATTGATTATCTGATGAACTATAAACTCCAAATCACACCCTTTTCTGCCTCCCTCTACACAGGGACATGGCATAAACAGTAGGATAGCACTTCGTGTTCAGCACTGTTGTTTAGAGTCATTGGTTGAGCCCAGATGTTCCCTTGGTGTTTACTGCCTCAAGGGTGAATTTGTCATATTTAATACCGCTTCAGATGATTCAATGTGCAGATAGGCGGCGGTTGATCACCAGATGCTGGGGATTTTTTCAATTATGTGCCATCAAATTAGTAGCAACTCTTAAGAGTCCACATGATGTAAATAAATCTTCTGCAATTTCCAACAATGCCATTTGTGTCCAAAATGTGATAATGTCTAATAGCGATTTAGGAAGCTATAGTTCAAATACCTGGAGAGAAAAAGATTGTGTTGGTAACTCAACCATTGATGCTACTGGATTGGGACATAAGAAATTTATTTTCATCCAAATATGTTCGTTTGCATAACAAAAATTATAGACTAAACAGGATTGGTTGCTTGAAGGCTGTCTGAATAGAGGGCTGTTTTGTTTTGTTAACCCAGATACAGCGATTAAGCAATGCTGTGTTAACTCAGCCCTAGTATTGTATGGTATTACCTCCTGTGATTTATTTGTTTTCTAGATGTAGCTACAATTTGTGCCATGTTTAAAATCTGCCTATATGGTAATTGTAGCTTTCTTATAATCCATTTTTATGCTGTTTTGGATACATACTCGTTGCAGTAAGTGACAGAGGCTTGAATAATACCCACAGGATCGCTCACTAAGAAGCAGGTGTGAGTTTGGTTTTAAAAAAAGCCACTCGGCAACATTTCAAGTCTGCCTGAATAGAAAAACCTTTATGCTGCCCTATGTATAACTATCCCTTGTAATGTTCCCATTTGACAGAAAGAGAAGTATGACGGGATAGCCGTCTTCCACTATTTGAGGGGCTGAGACAGAAAAGAGAGTGTCGACATTTTCTCCAAAGTAGCTAAGGACAGGACAAGAAATAATGAGATGATTGAAGAGAGGTCTAACTTTGAACTAAGAATGAGTTAATTTGTTAATACCACTTTATAATGCCTTGGTAAGGCCACACTTGGAATACTACATTAAGTTTTGATCGCCAAAATATAAAAAAAGATGTTGAGACTCTAGAAAGAGTGCAGAGAAGAACAACAAAGATGATTAGGGGATTGGAGGCTAAAACATATGAAGAGAGGTTGCAGGAAATGAATAGTCTTATNTTATTAATGGGACTACCTGTTTTATCTGCCTGTCTCAGTGGTGGGTTCCGGATCCTGTTGCAACTGGTACAGTGCAACGGGGCCCGGCATCCACCACATGAACGTGCGCATGCATCCTTACCTCCTGCAATGCTCCGCGATGCCTCTGCAATGCTCCAGCTGCACGGGGGAGCATTGCGCAGGCACTGTACACTCTGTGCGCGGAAGCGCCGAAGAGCTGAAATACAGGTAAGGATGGCGGGTGGGTGGGCCCTCCGGAGCAGCTTACCAGAACGGTACCCGTACTGGGGTGTACCGCCTGCAACCCACCACTGGCCTACCTACCTACTTACCTACCCACCTTCCTATTGTTTGTTTGTCTATCTCTATTAATCAAAACCCAAAGGAAGCTCTGGGTGACCGAACAAAAATCAATAAGAACAATATTTTTTAAAAAATGTACAAGATCAAGAAAGCTTTATTCATAATATCACAAAAGCAAAAATGAAAATCATAGTGGAGGCAGGATAAAAATAGCCACCTCTAACCCTGTTAGGATTGGAAATTAAGTACTTCTGCATTTTTGAAAAGTGCTATCCAATCTTTCCTGTGATTGGAATCTTTTATGTTCTAAGACAATCATCTCAGTAATGAAGAGCATCAGTCATCTCTAGTCCTTATTTTGCAATTTGAATTTGTTAATTTGGGACCTACTTCCCGAAGGAACAGATTCCAAATTTGCTCCTTCGTTGGTAAGATCACTCTTCTGATGCTTGACAATGGCTGTCCTATTTCTTCTTAACCGTCTCCTCTTCAGGCTACATATTTTTACGTTGCTTCTGTTTTTCCTTCTAGGACACATGATATCCAGGCTTCTTACCATTTTTATCACTGTACACTGGGCACATTTGAACTTTTCAGTTATTTTTTAAAATAGGCCACAACTTTGCAGAAAAAGATCTGTCTAAATCATGATGGCTTTGCAGTTCTGAATGCATAAATGTAAGATCCAGCAGGACCATTTGTACGGGTTAGCAATTCTAATGAAAAGGACAATCTTTTCCAGTTTTGTTCCTTGTCATCTTCTTAACA